GTCTGCCCGAAGCCCAAGCGCTACCAGCTTCACGGTTTGCCAGGCAGCCTCCAGACCCTGCACCTCCGGCTGGGCGCTTCCCCTCCCAGGCTCCAGCTGCACTGGGGAAGCGCCGGCCGGGGGCGCAGGGTCTGGGGGCTGCCCGGCAAACCGTGAAGCCAGTAGCGCTCGGGCAGCGCTTTCCGTGTGGCTGGGAGTGGGAGGGAGGAGGGGCAGAGTTAGGGCGGGGAAGGGGCGGAGTTATGTACATGCATGCATGTCTTGAAGCTGCTCCCATAACTTGAATTAGATTACACAAAGTTACCAGCTCAGCTCTTCCTTGTCTCTGAGTCCTGTAGATGGATTATTGTAAGTCTATAGTGGAAACCTTTCCAGATGTATATTTTATAAGGCTTGACACTGAGAAGAATGAGTCGATAGGTTTGAACTGTACGCTTGGATTGATTTTTATTGTAGTTCAACAGATAGCTATCAAAGCAAATTAGAACTGTCATGTAATTTTCTACAAAGACATCTCTTCCACTCCTAGAAAAAGCCATTTGTATAAAACATGTACTTCACTATACAGTAGAACATCAGAGTTACAAACACCTCAGGAATGCAGGTTGTTCATAACTCTGAACAAAACATTACGGTTGCTCTTTCAAAAGTTTACAAACTGAACAGTGACTTAATACAGCTCTGAAACTTTACAATGCAGAAGAAAAATGCTGCTTTTAACCATCTTAATTTAAATGAAACAAGAACAGAAATAGTTTCCTTACCTTGTCAAATCTTTTTTTAAACTGTCACTTTATTTTTTTAGTAGTTTGTTTAACACAGTGCTGTACTGTATGTGCTTTTTCTTGTCTTTACTGCTGCCTGATTGCATATTTCCAGTTCCAAATGAGTTGTGTGGTTGACCAGTCAGTTCATAACTCTGATGTTCATAACGCTGAGGTTCTACTGTACATAAATTTATAATTAAAAATCATGTATTTGTTCCTTAGTAAATATTCCTCAGTTGGTTGTTCATCTGCTATATTACAAATACCTGTCCTTTTATGCTTTAAAAATAACTTGTAAAAGGCATGATAGTTTATTTTCTAACTATATGTTCTCAGCTAGATCAAAGAGAAGTTTCCAAAAGCTTTTGAAAATAACAAGCTGGACAAGACAGCCCAGGCTAGTAAACAATCTGAGTTCATCTGAAGCTGACCTAGGTGCTTTTGTTCATTCAGACCTTTCCCTCCGGGATACGCCCTACTTTGTTACCATTTAGTTCAAATGCATATCATTAAGAATTAGTGCCAATGTATTCAGATTGTTATAATTTTTTGTGGGCATAAGCATCCAAAATTAGATTCTTTTTCCTTTCCGTTTCAAAGGACATACTAAATACCAGAGAATTATAGATAGCTCACTCACAAGAGAGACGATTACTACCAATAATTTCATTTATTGATATGTAGGGCCCTACCAAATTCACGGTCCATTTTGGTCAATTTCACGGTCATAGGATTTTAAAAATCATAAATTTCATGATTTTAGATATATAAATCTGAAATTTCATGGTGTTGTAATTGTAGGGGTCCTGACCCAAAAAGGAGTTGTGGAGGGGTTGCAAGGTTATAGTTTGCGGTACTGCTAACCTTACTTCTACACTGCTGTTGGCAGCAGCGCTGCCTTCAGAACTGGGAATCTGGAGAGCAGCGGCTGTTGGCCGGGAACCCAGCTCTGAAGGCAGCGCCGCCGCCAGCAGCAGCGCAGAAGTAAGGGTGGCATGGCATGGTATTGCCATCCTTACTTCTGCGCTGCTGCATGCAGAGCTAGGCCCTCAGTCAGCAGCTGCCACTCGGTGGGCGCCCAGCTCAGAACACAGCAGCACAGAAGTAAGGGTGGCATGGTATGGTATTGCCACCCTTACTTCTGCACTGCTGCTGTCAAGGCATTGCCTTCAGAGCCAACAGCCTCTGCTCTCTGGCTGCCCAGTTCTGAAGGCAGCGCAGAAGTAAGGGTGGCAATACCACAACCCTCCTAAAATAACCTTGTAACCCCCCTGCACCTGCCTTTTGGGTCAGGCACCCCAATTTGAGAAACGCTGCTCTCCCCCGTGAAATCTATTTCACGGGTGGAGACCAGATTTCACGGTCCATGATGCGTTGTTCATAGCCGTGAATCTGGTAGGGCCCTATTCATAGGCATTGATATTAATTTCCCACATGCTTTTTCAATTACATTATTGCTTCACACATCATTAACATTATTTTTGAGATTATTTTTCTCTTTAAGATTAATTCATAAAGGCCTCAATCAGATGATTTTTTTCTAGTAATCAGTAATCAGAAACATGCATAATTCTCAACAATTATATCAGATCACAGAATCCAAATATATATACAATTGCATGACAAGGTTGTAACTGAGCCTTCTTAGAGAAAAAGCACAAAAAAAGTATCAAAGGGAAAGAAAAGATTGCATTCTGCAGGTCAGTTCTTTCTCTGGGCTCTACAGAATTGCTAAGGAATTTTCCTCATATTATTATTATTTTCATCCAAGGATCTCTAAACATTTTATGAAAGTGTGAATCTATATTAACAAGCTGAGTTTGTTT